CCAGATCATGATAATCTTTTCTACACTAGAAGGGCAGATCATGTAGGTGTGGAAATTAAATCAGTTAACAATAGATAGATGTCCTTTCAGCACCATGAAGACTCCATTGACCACCCTGCCAATGCCACCTGCTTCTGGGTCTGCAGGGATTCTCCACATGTACAGGTTGAAGTCATCAGAGCCTGAAAGGATATACTGGTCACGATCTCCTGAGAAGCAGCAGCTTTACATGGTGCATGAGTTGAAGTAAACCTGATTGTCAAACTGGAACATGGGCAGGTGGGAGTGGACATCATATAGCACAGGAGGCAGACTATGCCTCAGGGCCAGGAGTTGGGTTCCATTGCTGTTGAATCGCACACTCATGGCACTTTGGAGGGATAGATTGCCACCGTAGCACAGGAGAGAACTCTGAGGTTTTCGAGTATCCCAAAGTCCTACTCCTTCCTTTGAATTGGCTGTGGGCAATAACCTGGGCTCCACAGGGTTAAACATGACATTGTGAAAGTCTGAAGGATAGTTTGCCAGGCAGAAAGGCTCTCCATGAGGAGACTCCTGGATGTCCCAAATGAGAACTTGGCCATCATCTTAAAAGCTGGCAAAAATGTCATTTACTGGGCTCACTCACAAACCATATACTGCATCTTCATGAGCAAAAATATCCAAGGTCTCGCTGCTTTCAACATCATGGAGGATAACTTGTTCATCATTTCCTCCAGGAAATACTTTGGTGTTCCCACTGTTGAAACCCAAGCAAAAAATGTTGGAATGGTGCTCTCCTTTCAGCTGAATGGGCTTGACCCTGGAGTTTGTTCCATGGTTTGTTCCATGTGCCACAGGAAAACCCGATGGTCGTCTCCTCCCGAGACCAGCCACTGGTCTTATTGTTGGAGCATTCAATAGCACTGACACAGCCGAAGTGGCCGAGGAAGTCCTTCTTCACTTGATCTTAGCCAAAAGGCTGAGAAGCGATGAGGAGGTCCTTCTTGTAGAGGGTTTCTGCAGCCTCACAGGTGTCTCCTCTGAAAGTCCTGAGTGAGCGGGGGCTCTCCATGCAAGCCCCACTGGGACAAGAAGACCACCACTGACCTCATGCTGCCCCCCGAGGCCACTGCCACCCCTCCCTCGGCCTAGCGCAGCTGCAGCTCCGGTCTGCCCTCCCCCTGAGCTTCGCGGTGCTTCGGATGGTGCCCTAGCCAGCCATGGCAGAGCAGTGAGGTGTCTACACAAGTTTTAACCAAGACAATATCATTTAATATTTTCCCTACAATAGTTAATAAATGCTGAAAGACAGTCTAGATTATTGCAGATGATATAAAAATACACTATTCTACTTTTTCTAGAAAAATGAATATAGCATAGGCAAATCAAATATAAAAAGTGAATAGGCAAATCTGATATTATCTGAGAATGTTTACTACCTTGTAAAGTTTCAATACAGTCTATATTTATTAAATAATTGCTAATAGATCAAACATCTGAAAAAATATGAAACTAGAAAACATTAGCTTGAGTAGGCTACCTGTTAGTCATAAGTGACTCAGAAATATTAAAAGTATGGAAATGTTTGACAGCAAACAATGCCCAATCAGTACATTAAACAGGAATTGATAAATGGTCTCTATTTCTTAAAAGACTCAACTTATGCATTTGTATGAATGAGTTAGCTCTAAAAAGAAAAGCCCCCCACTGAAGCCAGAACTAATTGTGGAAAGGACATGCAGTTTTTCCTTTGAGGGGAGAAAAGCATACGTGACCACAGTAGTGCATTTGGCCTTGACAACTCCCACACAGCAATTTTATGACATTAAAAAAAAAATAGCCAAAGCAAAAGCTGAATGCAACTAACATTTTTGGATTTCACAGTATAAAACAGAATTCCTTTTATAATGATAACAAAATCATGGACCTTGCTCACAGTAATTTTTCTTACAGGTTTAGGCACTTTGGAGTGGGCTGTTACCAATCTAGGAAAATTGATATGAAAAATTAATTTTATAGCATTCATATTAAACAGTCCTATGATTACATCGAACAAAGAGGTGAGAGATGTCCTAAAAGTATGAAATATTTTCATTCTGACAAACACACAGTAGAATCATCTTGCAGAGAAATGTGGATGGGCATTAGTATACTTCCACACCCATATTATGTTTATTTGCTGATGACCTAGAGCAGGGGAAGCAAATTGCCAGAGCCAGAGCCTGAGAATATGCAATTTCTAGCTCACATTCTTCTTTCTGTTTGTTTACACAATACTTTCAAAATGTAAGTACCATTCTTACTTTGCAGACCATGCAACTGTAGACTGGATTTGGTCTCTGAACGGTAGTTTGCTGACCCCTGGTCTAGAGACCTTTGATATTATAATACATTTTCTCACAAGCACAGATGATCTCAGAATGAATATTTATAGGGGACTATATTCATATGTTTAAAAGATTTCTCTAATGTGTTCTGCTGCAACCTTAGATCTGACATTGTGAGAAATGTTTCAGAAGCTTTATGATAATTCTGTGAATATTCAAGTTACCAATGACTAAATCTAGTTCAAGTATCAACACTGCTCTTCAAAGAAATGAAGGTCACAATGAGCAGAGTACACAGTATGACATGGTTGATGCTATAATACTGATAGCTGCTGAGTTGAAGAGAATAAGGAGAATTTTAGGTCACTTTGGAGACTTGAGCTTAATTTTTTGATTTGGGTTTTAGAATTTTCTAGTGTTAAAAATATGATGATCAATAATATGATAATTTGATGATCAATAGTTTCTATACTAGCTGCCAATCTAAAGGCAGTAATTTACTATATTTAATGCTAAATGAAGAGATTGAGAAACAATGTTACATATTTATAGTGCATTAAAATGAGCTAATACTGGTTTAGCGGCTGAATGGGCATCAACAGTAGCAGAAATTCTGTAGCTAACAATGCTTTTCAGTGCTGTTTCCTCCTTAGCTGCTCTGATAGCCTAGCAGAGAAAGGACGATGCCTTGATGAAACTTGTTATCCCTCAGTTTCCATTTTTCCTTCAATACTGTCAAGGTTTAATGCCTAAAGCAAAAATATATTATCCAAAGCCAGAGTTTTATCTTTAGTGTGAATTTCAAGTAAAACAATATCATTATATGAAGTGGAATGGGCTGACAATTTTGGAGAAATAGTTAAGTCTGGTGGCATGCTCATAGACCTCAGTAATACTAGCAACTCCCCCACTGCAAACAGACAAGGTCTCTCTTTCTCTCTTTCTCCTTTGTTCTTAGAAAGCACAAGTTAAAAAAACAAACAAACACGATTGTCACTTTGGGAGGCTGAGAAGGAGATTGCAAGTTCAAGACTAGCTTGGACAACTTAATGAGATCTTGTGTCAAAAAATAAAATGGGCTGAGGATCCAGTTCGGTGAGAATAGCCTGGGTTCAATCCACCCCGCCCCCCCAAAAAAAACCAAAAAACAAAACACCCCCCCCCCCGCCCCCCGCAAAACTACAAACAACTCAGCATTGAAGTGAGGCATGGTGGTTCACACCTGTAATTCTAGTACTTTGGAAGCTGAGACAGGAGGATCTGGAGTTCAAGGCCAGCCTGAATTATGTAAGGAGATCCTGTCTCAAAAACAAACATAAGAACAAATACAGCATTAAAATTTTCCAGTCTAATGGATCATGATGACACAATTACTTTTTTCCCATTTTACAGCTCCTTCCATAAAGGGTTTTAAGTACATTTGACCAAATTTTTTTCCCATTTTACAGCTCCTTCCATAAAGGGTTTTAAGTACATTTGACCAAATTTTTGTTATTTGCAAATGGTTAGAGCACAGTGAATAAGCTGTCATTTCAGACAATGAAAAAAGGCAAAGTGATCAGACTAGTTACATCATTCCATGAAATGAAGCAAAGGGTTAAGACAGAGATACATCTGCCACAGTTGCCAATTCCAATTATAATTGATTCTCCTTGAAACATCAGTTTAACACAAATGCTTATCCGGTAGTACATCATAAACCACAAGAGTGTCCTGTCACTTAAATGTAGAGCTGGGAGTTTTAATTTGTAACAAATAATTGTTTTCAAAAGCAAAGTAATATAGAACCCATAGGACTCATAAGAAAGCCTCCTTAAGGTTAATTATTACACACACTTAGGGGCACTGGCTAAATTCAGAAGGTGTTGGTATTACAGTAGAATGTAATTTTTTATAGGCTCTGAAAATTTCCATGCAGTGTGTACCGAAGCTTCTTTGACTGATACCTCTCTCTTTAGTGTAAGAAAAACTTTCTTTGTATAAGGAAAGCCTAGATTCTCCTGGAATTTTGCATTATGGCAAAATCATTATATCTGAACTACTTCTATCAAACCAAATGCCACTCTTTGGGTTCCTATTTAGAGATTATTAAAAAACAAATGATTTTTCTGTTAATCGCCAATCATAAGGTGGTAGGGATATTTTATGGTGGTGCCAAGATTGGGAGGGAGTGGTTAAAGTGACCAATCAAATTAACACAAACACTTTTCACCTAATTTTCCCTTTAAAAAAACCCCAAATTGCTTTTAGTTTTCTAGAGTGAAAATGGTAATACAGAATATTCAAGCATGCAAGCAAAATGCCTCTTTCATATCCTGAAAAAGTATTAATGTTTTCTTTGTTTTGTTTTGTTTTTTGGTACTGGGGATTGAACTCAGGAACTTGCACTTGTGGGGCAGGCAAGTATTAATGTTTTCTAAAATGTAATTTGTTCTGGGCTTATAGATGAGCACGTTTTACATCTGGTGAGATGCAAACAAACCATTATTTGCTCAGTGGGAAACAGGCTTTCTGTACATTCTAGTTAATGGGAAGTTTTCTAAGCAAACAGAAAGGAAAGGTGGGTAGGCATTTAACCTTGTTATGTCTATGCATAATCCAAGAAAAGAAAAACAAAGCCATGGAAATAAAAGTGAATTAGCAGTAGCCTATAGGTCAGCAGTGATTTCCATACAACATAGCACAAAGTCCGAAAGTATTACTTCATTTTTTATTAAGAGAGCTATTGTTGAGGCACAAACTGTCTTGGAAAATTAAAGTTTGGTTTCATCTCTTTCTGCTCAACACATCTGAAATATTTTACCCAGCACTTTCATGCTGTCTGTACTCCCAATAGAAATAAAGATCTCTAAGGAATTGGCTTTAGTCTTACATATAACTCAGGGATGCAAATACCTTGATAAGTGAGGTGCGGAACTATTTTATTCAACAATTGACCATACATGGTGGTATGTGAATTGCACAATGAACAAATTGCTCTAAATGATGTCAGTTTCAGGGTGCACGTCATACTCTTAGTCTGACTTTGACACTGCAGAAATGTGGTCTCACAAATCGATATTGTGATGAAGGATGTGGCTTTGTTCCTATATATGGATTCTTTATTCAGAAGAGTATTTGATTGAACAGTGTAAAAATATAATGGTGTGAAACAAATTAATTAAAAAGTAATAACTCAAAGTATTACAAGTGAATGCAGTCGGAAGTCAAGATCTTGCAGCAAAATAGGTTTGTTTTTGTGGTACTGCAGCTCAAACCAGGGCCTTGTACATGGTAGGCAACCACTCAATAGGCAAGCATTATGACACACCCCAAACTTCCTTTTTTTGAGGGTCTTACTAAGTTACCTAGGCTGGCCTTGAACTCAAACCTCTTGCCTCAGCCTTCCTAGTAGCTGGGATTACAGGTATGCACCATCTGTAGCTCATGTGTCTGCCAGACATTGTCACAGTTGTGCTGCTGTGTGCTTACTGTACAGTGCAATCGTATACACTAGTACAGTACAGTACCTTTCTGTTTAGTTTTTTAATGCTTTACATTGTATATTTGGGTCAAAGGTATATAGGCCTCACTTTGTCAGACTTACAAATGAATCTCACTTATGAAAATTTTCCCCAAACGGGGACTTACTGTATCAGCCCCTTTATTTTTTTTTTTTTGGTGAAAAATGATTCTATTTGTTATACATTCAAACAAATTAGAACTAGCTGCTTTACAATGATATTTTACTGCTATTTCTTTTTTTTTTTTGGTACCAGGGATCGAACTCAGGGCCTTGTGCTTGCGAGGCAGGCAGTGGCACCACTGAGCTAAATCCCGGCCCTTTACTGCTATTTCTTGGCCCTCCAACTTTTGGCTGTTTTGCAAGTTATAAGTTAGAGCTGTTCTCAATGCTTGTATCTATTTCCCTCAAAAAGTGAAGCTGGAGCTGGGCATGTTGCTCAATAGTAGAGTATCTGCCTAGCATGTGCAAAGCCCTGGGTTTGACCCCCAGTACCACAAATAAAATAAAAACATACAAACTTAAAAATGAAGGAGCAGATTATTTTAATAAACTTTATGTATCTAGGATGCTGACCATTTTACTTCCGTTACCTTGACATGCTTTCCTGGGCATAACCATGGCCCCTCTGAAAACTGGAAAATACTGCATAATGTAAAAAGTCTTAGTTTTATGACATTCCTTGATAACTTCAAATAAGTTAGTCCAGAAGGGTAGACTATACCATCAATTATGTTTGCCTGAACATAAAAACAGTGGCAACTTAAAGATCTGCCAAAGGAAACAAAGCAACCACTTTTAACTGGCCAGAGGTGTAGCATTTTCTAGGTGTCCCAGTGGAGCTTCAGAAAGGATACTAGATCCATTGCTATAATTTGCTCTATTTGCTCTTACACCCCAGAGCCCACAGCAAATTCTGGGCAATACAAGTATAGAACCCAGTGGCAGGTCTGAGTTTGTTTATGATACTTGGACTTGCACTGAGACAGATGATAGAAAGAGTACCTAGAATACCATAACTAGGTTTTTTTTTTAATCTTGAAAAACCATGTACGAGGTTAACATGACAATAGTAGAAATCAAAGCTGACACAGCTTAATGCTGGCTCACAGTTGACCATCTGGACATTGGGCTCTGTCATCCTTACTATTTTCCTTATTTAATATTAGAAAAGATATAGTTCACATGCAATCCTTATCAAAAAAGAGAAAAAAGTTAATTTCCTATGACCAGCACAAGCTGTTAACCTGTTAAGAAAGCTCAATTTCCCCAGCATTCTAGAACATAAATATACATCATATCTGTTTCTTTAAAAGCACCTCAGGATGAAGATGAGGAGGACAAATAATATAAAGCCAGGAGCAAAACACCAACCAGGATCAATTCTTCATTCTCTGTGTGGTTGGCAGCATTGGTCAGAAAGTCACTTCTCTGTTGCGATGGTCATGGTGCATTTGAATATTTAGATTTTTAGAGATTTCTTATCATCCTGCTAGGCATATGCACGTATTTTTTGTTCTCTTCATGGAATAATCATCAGTGCTTCCTGAGAGGCTCGAACATGATCACTGGCCAGATTCCAAAGAAAAACTGTGAAAAATAAGTTAGGACAAAATGAGAGAAAATTGCTCTACATTGTTATCCCTGAAATCAATGAGAAAAAAAAAATCCATTGGGCTATGACTGTAGCACATGGTAGGTTTGCTAGTGACTATCCTGGTAGTAAGTAGCCTAAGCACAGTATACTCCTTCCACCAAGATCCTTGCACCAGATCTTGGACACTATTTTCATTTAATTTATTGGATGTATTAAGCATCTACAAATGTGTCAACCATGGATGTGAACAGTTAATCTCTAATCCTTAAAACAACCATATAATATAGCTATTAGCAGCTCCTTTTTATTGTTTAAGGAACTGAGGCTTAAAGAAGAGACTTGTCTGAGATCATGTAGTTATAAATGGAAGACTTAAGGTTTACTGTCTCCTGGTCCAAAGCCTGTGTTTGCTCCACAACTTCTTCACATCCCCTTTCTTTATGTACATCCATTGCATCCTCCCGACACCCTCCACGCCAACACACACACACACACACACACACACACACACGCCACACACACTCCCCTAAGGATGTAGACTTACTTTCACTTTTGGCCTGTATCTCAGGTAAAGTGTTCTTGTATATAAACTGAAAGAGAAAGGGAAGGGGAAAATTCTTCAGGCTAATTTTTAATTCCCGAAAACTAGTTTACAGACAAATTTTACCACAGTGCTTTTGTATATACAAAGAAAAAAACCACATTGGTATATCTTTTGTTCATTCAATAACTATTTTTTGGAGTATCTTCTCTGCAAAACACTTGGCAAGATGCTAAGGAAGGCAAGGAAATGACCTCAGGATTTATAATTTAGTAGTGACCATTCCACCAATGCTTGATATGATTCATATCACACTATTGATTCATATCCTTACTTGAGGATGAGAAAATTGAGCACAATGGAGTACTACTCTGCCATAAAAGGATAAATTCGAGTCATTTGTAGGAAAACGGTTGCACCTTGAGACAATAATGTTAAGTGAAATAAGTGAGACACACAAGCTTAAATATTACATGTTTTCTTTTATATGAGAAATACGAAGTATAAGTAATTTAAAAAGCAAAATAAAAGACAGATAATAGGAAACAGGGACAAGATCTTTTGGAAATGGGAAGGGGAGCAAGAGATTGGGGCAGATGGAGAGAAGAAAAAGGGAAGGGGAAATAAAGAGAATTAAGATTTGTTATGTATGTGTACCAACTTCCTACAATGAATGTAATCATTATGTACTGCAAACATGTACTAATAAGAATAAAAAATAAAAGTTAAAAATAAAATCCAAACAAAAGGGACTTCTTAATGTCATCCAGTGTCAGAGGCAAAGCTGGAACATAAATTCCTGATTCTGTCTCTAACATTTTATACTTATATCATCCTATTCAAAGGAGAAAAAACCCCACCACTAATACCAGATTTAAATGTTTCTTACCTGAACAGGATGTGAAGATAAGAACCAAGGCCAGTTAAAATATGCCACCATGCATGAAACTGTGTGGTAACACCTAGGATAGGTGGCATCTTCTTTCGAAAGTTCCTATGGTGGGGGGATTGCCATGTTAAATGCTGACAGTGTTAAGAGTATTTTGAAATACCATTCTTAAATATGTCAATCATCTAATTTCCTTCAGTCTGCTGCATTGTTTCCTACAGTGTATTCTGAGAAATATAATTTCCAGTAGGAACTACTAGAAATATATTCAAGTTAATGTAGGAAACATTACAGAGATTACTGCCCTCTTAAAAATACTTTTAATATATAGTAATAGGTTGAAGGCTTTGAAAAGTTCTGCCATAAATAAAGGAGTTTATCTTCATTTTTCTTAAGGTAACTACTAATCCATGGAACTTATTTTTTCAGGTAATACTTATTACTTCGTGGAACAAGTATTTTCTAGAATCCACTTTGGGAAACATGTATCTAGTTAACTATCCACTTGAGAAAATGGATAAACGCTTCTCTTATCACCTTGGTATAGAACTATTCTATAAAATTCTTTAATATTTGTCAGGTGTGGTGGTGCGCACCTGTAATCCTAGCACTTGGGAGGCTGAGGCAGGAGAATTGTCATGAGTTCTAGGCCAGCCTGGGCTACATAGTGAGACCCTGTCTCAAAAACAACAACCCCACCTTTAATATCTATTATTTAATCTCATAGTCAGTGGTTCTTTGAAGAAGCTATTATTAGCTCTTCTTAGCAGATTAGGAACTTAAAATTCAGAGAGTTAATTGAGTTACCCAAGTTACTCAACTGGTGGCACAGTTGGGTCTCACATTATAGCTCTTTTTTTGCGGGGGGGTACCAGGGATTGAACTTGGGTCCTTGCGCTTGCAAGGCAAGTGGCAGAACCACTGAGATAAATTCCTGGCCCCAACATTATAGATCTTTTTGATTAAGTTGATCTTAACATTTCTTAGAGGAGAAAAACCAACGTGATGTGTCAAATTATTTTTTTTGATATCCCCATTAATTTTTGAGACAGTTACTATCTCTAAGAGCCTGCACTGTATATCAGTGGTTCTCACTCAGGGGATGATGATCTACTCAGCAGTATCAAAGCTCTCCTGGGGGTTCTGCTGTTATTCCTGATTTAGAATCACACACTTAGATCTTAGTTTTCGAAGTAAGGTGCATTACTTGTTTGTCTACACTTAAAGTCTAAGTTTACTCAGTGTTTTACTATGGAGACTTTCACACATATGCAAAAGTAGACAAAAATAATACATCTATTATCCAATGTCAATGATTATCGATTTATAGTTCAATCTGTGTCATCTAAACCTTTATCCACTTCTCCCTCCCATGTTATTTTGAAGTAAGTCCCAGATAGTGTAGCATTTTATCTCTAAATATTTCAGTATGTATCTCTAAAAGATAGACTTCTTTAAAATATGACCACTTAACCACAATACCATTTTTATACCTGAACTAATAATAATCCCTTAATATCATCAATATTTAATTTATCAACCAGAGTTCCAAATTTCTCATGTTTTTATTTTTGTTTTTTTACAGTTGGTTTATTTGAATCAGGATTCAAAAGAAGGCTAACACATTGCATTTGGTTAATAATTTGTTAAGTTTCTTATCCTTACATCCCATTCTGTGCACCCCCTTCCCTGCCCCTGTGGAGATCAGATCATTCAACCCGTAAGTTTTCCTAGTCTGAATTTTGTGGACTCAGCACCATCCTGTGGTGTTATTTGATATATCCCTCTGTCCTCCACATTTATGCAAAACTGACAGGTCATAGAATTTTGAGTTGCAATGACCCATTAATTTAATCTACTTAAAACAGATTTTAGGAAAGATGAGGCCCAGAAAGATAGTGTATTAGTGATAAAAGTCCAGAGCCCTAAGTTTAAGATTGAAATTTATCAATACATAATTGCTGACAAGATGGTAAAAGGAACACTAATCTTTATCAGAAAAGAACACTAACCATACAAAAGTAAAATTTTATATACATGTATTTCATATGCTTATTACAAATCATGTTTTTACAAATCATTTTTATTTACTCAATAAAACAGATTAGGCATGTATGAAAGATGTGGTTAAAATGAGACTAACTACAATTGTATGATGCATACCCACAAAAGACCCAAAGCCTTCAGAGGTAATGAAATACTCTCAGGTTCAAACTTTTAGGTAATTTAAATAGGTTATTTCTAGAATTTAACTTTATTGTGCTGTACATACCTTCTAAATGTTAACACTACAAAAAATCCATTTTAGAGCAGTGATATTTTTATATGCCTATGAAATTCTGTTTAGTAGAAGGCTTCCAAGAATATTTCTCAAGGAATAAAAATATATCTTACCTCAGCGAATCACAAAAGATGTTATCTATGTTCCATAATAAAAATCCCAATAAAAATATACCCAAGGATGTATAACCTAGTCCTCTAAGCCATGGATAAGCCCTGTGGGGAAAAAAGAAAAGCAAAATGAAAAATTTCCAAGTCATATTATAATCAGAGCTTGAAGCTATCACTTTCATGAGAAGGAAAGGTTTTTAGCATTAAAAGAAAAATACTAAATTCTTTAAAGTACGTATGTCTTCACACACCGCACAGACACAGATACACACACACACACACACACACACACACACACACACACATTTTATAGAAACAAGGTCTTCCTTTATAGGCCAGTATGGCCTTGCACTCCTGAGCTCAAGTGATTTTCCTGCCTCAACCATCTAAATCTGTGTATCTGCCAAATATTTTTAGCCATTAAAAGGTACTGAAAAAGAATTAGCCACAAAGACTTCACTAAGTATTTCAGTGAGGTAATCCACAAGCACTCAACAACTTTTTTGGTGTAATAGAAGAGATAGGGGGCTGGTTGATTAGAATTAACACGGATTGAGTCACATGCTCTGGCAGGCTAAGTTACACTCACATAAATATTCATTAAATCACTTAATAATATGTATTGAGTGCTTACTATGTGCCATGTATTATTGTAAGCCTGTGAGACAGTGAAAACAATGTCTTTGTTCTCAGTGAACTTATAATATAGTTGGGGGGAGGTAAACAAGTAAATAAGTGCATAATGGTTATAAATGTTTTGCAGAAAAATAAGGCCTGGTAAGAGTAGAGTGATATGAAATATTATTTAGATTAGCTATTCATATACATATCCTCCCTCCACCAAATTTTCAAATAAACCATTTGAGACAGGCATTTTTTAACTTCATTGCTGGGGAAACTGAAGCATAGTAAGTTAGTGAAAACAGTAACAGCAGCTTATTCATTTTTTATCACTTCCATGAGTAAACTGTATACTGTATATTTAAAGAATACATCTGGTGAATACATCTGTATATACCCACAAAACTACTTCACAATCAAGATAACAAATGTCAGATTTTTTTGTTTTTTTTGGTACCGAGGATCGAACTTGGGTGCTTGCACTTGTGCAGCAGGTGGTGAAACCACTGAGCTAAATCCCCAGCCCAAATGTAGTTTTGCACAGATATGGGTCTCTGACAGATTTTGGTGTTTTTTTTGGTACTGGGTATCAGACTCGGGTCCTTGCACTTATGTAGCAGGCGGTGAGACCACTGAGCTAAATCCCCGGCACAAGATAACAAATGTCTATCACCTCCAAAAGTTTACTTTGCATTACTTTAAAAAGGGTTTTATAGTTTTATTGTTTGGCTTCTTTCACTTGCCATTTTGAGATTCATCCATGCTGTTATGTGTGTCAATATTTCATTGCCTTTTATTAATGAGCAACACTGCATTGTATGGATATAGCACAATTTATTTGTCCAAATACTGGTGGAGCGGTGTGGTGGTGAATGCCTGTAGTCCCAACACTTGAGGAGTGCTGTGAGTTTGAAGCCAGTGGGCTACATAGTGAGTGCAAGGACAGCCAAGCAGATAAGCACTGTATCAGAGAGGACATATGGATGGCAAATAAGTACATGAAAACATGATCAATAATATTAGTCATGCCTGAGTCGCGTGGAAGACACTGAATCAGGCCGCTGCAGACAGGTAGGTCTGCAGACACCCTACTGAGGTCACGAGTAGTGCAGAAGAAGCCAAATCAGCCTCCTGCAGACAGGCAGGTCTGTGCACGCCCTGCTGAGGTCTGGAGTCCCGCAGAAGATGCCAAATCAGCCTGCTGCAGACAGGCAGGTCTGCGGACATGCTAACGAGGTCCCGAGTCGTGCAGAAGATGCAGAATCAGCCCGCTGCAGACAGGCAGGTCTGCGCATGCCCTACCGAGGTCCCGAGTCGCACGGAAGACACCGAATCAGCCCGCTGCAGACAGGCAGGTCTGCGGACACCTTACCGAGGTCCCGAGTCCTGTGGAAGACGCCGAATCAGCCCGCGAACCGGCAACAATCTACTGGACCCCCCACCCCCCACTCCTCTGTACAGACACCTGGTTCCACACTACAAAGACACAGAGGACACCAGACCACCAGACCAAGGTACTGAGTCCCGCAGCTCCCGGCCCAGAGGCAGGGGCTTCTGAGCCGCCATCCCACTGCTCCTGGTCCAGAGGAAGGGGCTTCCCAGCCACCATCCCTCCCACTGTTCCCAGCCCAGAGGAAAGGGCTTTTGGGCCACCTTCTGTCCTGCCCCTCCTGGCCCAGAGGAAGGGGCTTCTGGGCCACCATCCCTCCCACCGCTCCCGGCCAAGAGGTAGGGGCTTCTGAGCCGCCACTGCACTGCTCCTGGACCAGAGGAAGGGGTTTCCCAGCCACCATCCCTCCCGCTGCTCCCAGCCCAGAGGAAAGGGCTTTTGGGCCACCATAACCACCGCTGCTCCCATCCCCTGTCCCACCTCTCCCAGCTCAGAGAAGGTAATCCATGCAGGCACCAACAGCGCTCCCCCCCCCAGTTGAAATGAGAAAACACATAAATAAGTCTCAAAACCAGACTTCCAGATCACCTACAGCAACCCCAAATGGAAATGAGATGGAACACTCTGATACTCAAC